TTTAGTTAAGATCGTTTTCCTTCAATTGTTTCAACGGCCTTGAAACCTATTGCACTTGCCAAACTCCTATTATTTCTCCTAAAATTAGAAGACAAATAAATGATCTGATTTTTTTATATAGGGCCTAAGTGTTTTAATTATATGTTTACCCATGGAGGTATTATAAACAAATTCCTCCATTGTTTACCTAGAAAAGCCATTAAATCTTATCTGAACACTATTTTGCTGAAGTTATGATTATGTAACCTTTATAATAGAGTAAAGTAATATACTGCCGTATAATAATAATGTTTTTTTTATATATATAAAAGAAAAGTGTGTAGAATTAATACCAAAATAAGAACACGGAGCCTTGCAAACTTTTAATGGTTCTTACAAAAGCAAATGTGAATATCTTTAAATAAATTCCGTCTTCCATACAGTAGGAAGTGAACTTGCATTTTAATAGGCCTACATAAAAAGTTAAATATAAACAGTACAACTATTTAAACTTTTTTACACTTTTTTTAATAGGCCTATCTATCTGTTGGGTTTAAAGTCATGTTTTGGTTATTGCGTTTTATAAATATTTGACACTTACCCGTTGCGGTGACCAATGTTATATAATACTGTCCTCGTGCTATTTGACATTACTCTGATTTCTCTGCATCACGCAAAAATCTTTCGCCTTTTACTAAAGATTTCCGTGCAGAGGAACACTCATTGAGTTTAAACTCAATTTTCTCTGCCCTTGAGGAAATCAAGGATCGTTATGAAATAAAAGTATTAATGTGTTAGGTTTATTTATGTTTCCACACATCGTTGTCTGGATTGTACGTACTTTTCCAGATATTTTGAGAGTTTTTGTATCTCTTTATGGGCGCTTCATTTACCGACCCAATAAGTATATTAAATTACATAAGGTAAATAAAATATAAAAATGGATATATCGTGTACAGTACATGAACATATGGTTAAGTGTAACTGAAGCAATGCATAAATAAATGAAACGGGCAAATAAATGATAAAAACAAATTAAAGGCAAAAAAGTGGGAAAAAAATAATTAATAAGGGAGTATATAATTAATTATAATTAAACTATGTGCCATAAATTATTTAAATCGCAATATTAATAGTATAGGCATTGACAGCTAATGACTAGTTTACATTTAAAAAAAAAACAGACAGAAGCTGTTTGTAGGCCTATATCTTATAACTTTCGTCTTCCATACAGTAAATAAAAAAGGAACTTGCATTGTAACACATAGAGCTATAGTTAAATATAAAGATTTTAATTACTTAATTATCACTTTACAGCTATTATTAGAACAGTACAACTTTTAAATTGTTTTTACACTTTTTATTGTTAATATCTAGCTGTTGGGTTTAAAGTCAAGCTTTAGTTATCGCGTTTTATAAATATTTGACACTTAGGCCTACCTATTGCGTGACCAATGTTATATAGTACTGTCCTCGTGCCATTTGACATTACTCTGGTTTCTCTGCATCACGCATAAATCTTTCGCCTTTTACTAAAGATTTCCGTGCAGAGGAACACTCATTGAGTTTAAACTCAATTTTTTCTCAGCCCTTGAGAATATCAAGGGTCGTTATGAAATAAAAGTATTAATGTGTTAGGTTTATTTATGTTTCCACACATCGTTTTCTGGATTGTACGTACTTTTCCAGATATTTTGAGAGTTTTTGTATCTCTTTATGGGCGCTTCATTTACCGACCGAATAAGTAAATAAAATTACATAAGATATTAAATAAAATATAAAAATGGATATATCGTGTACAGTACAT